TCGACTTTTCCGACAGTCAGAGAGATCAGCATGTTCGCTTGCGAGGGAGGTTGATCGCTGTTTACTGCTGGCTGCTGCATGTTTGCTTGTCTTGTTGCAAGCAACAGGCCTTGGCAGCGGAGATACAGTGAGCTAGGCCTACTAGGAACGTAGGGCTAGAGCTAGGGCTAGAGCTAGGGCTAGGGCTAGGGCTATGAATGATTGAATAGCCACCAAGCTATGCAGGCAGAATGATCATATAATCATGGCCCTACTGCTCTCTACGCTTATACTTAATTTCACCCCCGGATGCATTTCCCTGGCAGATGCAAAAAAATGGATTATGAAGCGTAGAATAAGATTTCTAAAACTTCAAGAAATCTTCAAATCGAAGTGGTATCGATCGAGTTATATGATAGACTTATTGTACATTATTGGTAAGACGCAGATATTTTGGGGGTCGGACTTATCGGACACTGCATCTGTGGTACTCATGCGCAGAGACCGCTGATCGAGAGAGTAGGTAAGACTAGATGGCGGATGTCTTTGGGGTCTGGGTATCATTTGACATACCGTAGGCACGCCAGCTGCATGCTTGCAGGGTTTTCAATAGATCAAGGCGTCGGCATGCCCGAGTTGTTACGACTGATAATCTTACACAGAGATCATGGCTTCTGTCCAGGGTTGCGAATACAGTGATAAGGAGAAACGATGTGTCAGAATGTTGCAAATTATGCTCTGTAGGAAGCCGCACGAGGCGTAGGGACATCTCTCCGGCTCCCCACTTTGTGCTACTGCTAGGAGGATCCCCAGATCTCGTAGACAAGGATCTCCCAAGATTCGTAACCCAGAGGTATGCGAACCGGGATGCGGCTACTCGTAGACTTTGACACCATGAGCAATAACATCCCAAGACTAGAGGATTCGCGCGAAGAGCCTCAAGTAGTGTTTGTGGAAGAAGGCGGCAGGTAAAGCCGAGATAAGTTCGTCCTCGTAATTCTAAGAATCTCATTTGCGAGCTGGCTTTGGAGGTGGACGTTGGGGGCACGATTTGATGTATGTACCCCTGAATATGAGAAAATTGGCATTTGTTGGCTTCGCTCCCCTAAACTTTCCGTGGGTTGGCCCTGGTGTGATAGTGAAGGAAAGGAAGGATAGGATAACAATCTCCGTTACCTCAGATATCTGTAGAATTAAGAGGACTGTGCAATGTTGAAGGTGCGCATACTGGTCAATGCTCATCCGGTAAGGAGGTACCGTATGCAAGTGGACACTAGGTAGTACCTCAGGTACTTCCGTAGGCGTCCAGTGTACTGGGGTCAAAGGTACTGGGGTCAAGGGTCAAGGATCAGGTATTTCCAACGGCCATCGGTTTAGCGTAGAGATAGCGTGGAGGATGGCCGATCAAAGTAAGGTAAGTAAGGTACTAAGTACACGTAGGTGCTTCTGGTGTACTAGTGGCTCGTGGCATTCTTTGCGTGGCGCTGGAGAATATCGAATTATTGTGACTTCCAAGCCATCGTGACACCACACTTTTCATTTTTTTTCATTTTTCAGACATGTATTATGTTGTACGGTCTAGCACTAACAGAATCTAAGAATCCCATCGCGTAGAAATGCTAGGTAGCTCTGAACCCTGTGCGGATCATGGATGCCTGCCAGGCAAAGCACCGTCCAGGAGTGGAGTGGAGAAAAAGAGGCTTGCACGGCTTGCTCACACTGAGCAAACAGCAGGCATTCGAGCGTTTTCCCTTTTCCCTTTTCCCCTCCCTCCAACCATTTTCCTCTTCTATGCTGCGCAAGCAGATGCAGTGAAACTTGAAAGGCGCAAGCCCATTACCCTATCGCATATAGTATAGTACTGTCAAAGACAAAACGCTTCAAACATCGGCCAAAGCAGGTAACTTGTTAAGTTGTTAGACGATTTTTGCAGACTATCATAATAGGCGCGCAGTCCGTCTTTTGATCTATCAAAAGCCTCACGACTTTCAACAAAACGCTGCAGCTAGCTTCCCGGCTCAATTCGATCTTGCATTTGTTGGTAAAGTAGCTTCGTATTCCTTCGACTAACATCTACACTGACACTGACACTTCATCCTCACCCTCACCCTCCCAACCTCCCACTTCCCAATACATTTAACAGTGCACTTCTCAGTCACGTGCTTCCACTCCTTTGATCCCAACTCACACACTGAACCACTTTCATTTATTTGCTGAGCACACCTGCCCTCGTCACCGCGACTGAAGCTCTCAAAATTGGTTCTTACACTTCCAGCATCAACCAAGCCTGTCAATACTGTCGCAACGCAACATGGTTCGCTACCTCAACCCAGGAGGCCATGATTGGGCCGAGACCGAGAATTTGGATGGCTATGGCATCTCTCTCATAGTCGTCATCGTGCTCTATTCCATATTCTTCTACGCTGCCTGTATCTTCCTCTGGCTCCAGCGTAATAATCCCGCCATTAGAATGCGCAAGATCCCCTTGGCGCTGCTGTCGATACTGGTACTCCATGTGTATCTGGTCATCATCTTCGTCATCTACCCTCTTAACGGTACTTTCCCCTGCGGTTTGGAGTTCTGGGTCATGTCAATGTATCTCCCCATCGGTATCGGCTTGTTTCAGGCTCAGAATCAGCAACTCCTCATTGTCAGCCGAGAGCAAAACCTGCTTAAAGGAATCGATGAACTTTATCGGCCGTTGTACCCCAACCATGGAGGTGGACTGGGAGGACCTGAGTATTGGATCTGGCGCCTCAAGCTTTGGTGGAGGAGCGTCAATACACAGAACAAATACGAGGGCCTCGTCTTCGTAGGGATGGTGGTCCAGGTAAGACGTCTCACCCGTGGTCAAGACTGCCGGCTCCAGTCAATGCTCCAGACCGCGTTCAAAGCAAAAGCTAACATCCAACACTCTAGTTTGTTGTTTCCTTGGTGATATACTCCATATCTCGCCAATTCCACGATTATGGTATTGTATCACACCATACATCACCTGGTATGTGCCGCAAAGGATGGGAATGGTAAGGGCAATCTTTCTCCGTTCTAGATGACTGTGGCTCAAAACATTTTAGGGCACCTTCCATTGTTTGGCAGTTCCTATGGAATTTCTTCTTCGGTCCCTACCTGCTATGGAAGATCAAACCAATTCATGACATTTACCACTGGCGTCTGCAGACTTGGCTGTCCGTGCTTGCTGGGTAAGTCCCCACGTTTATTGACACGAGAGGATTTCTGAGCACCTTCAACAGGCTCCCTGGAACGCCGCTCTGGATTGCCGCCGTCTACACTGATAGCTTTGCATCGGTCAATAAGTATTGGGCGCCGCCTATGTGGTAAGTAGCTGCATGTGACTGGTTCTCTGTCTTTGTACTGACCTACCAGGTTTATGCCTGGTCTGATGATGATGGAACTGGTCACGCTGATCTTCCCCATCATGCAAGTCTTCAAACACAACAAGGCGGCCCGCGAAACGCACGACATCCTAGCAAAATTCGACGCTAAGAAACTCCATTCGGAACCATCCACCACCGGATCATTGGCAACCCGTTCCACAGGCTCCAAGCGCGGCAAGATGTTTTCTATGGAATCCCTCGACGAGTGCCTGACCACTAGCTGTGACGACCTGCAAGTGTACGCCTCCTGCATGGAGCTCAATGGCGAAAACATCATATTCCTCACCAGAGTCCTGGGCTTCCAAAGGAAGTGGGACATGGATTTTCCGAAGATTCGCGACCGTTTCCGTGCGCGTATGGGCATGTTCCGCGCCGCTCTCAGTATCTATGTTACCCTCGTGCATTCAGACACCGCATCTTATCCAATCAACATCGAGAGCCCTATCTACGCCACTCTGGAATCTATCTTTGGCGCGGCTACAAAGCTCGTCGCTTCAAGACGCAATAGCGAATCGCCTTCAACGCCGATCTCTTCCGTCACGCCCTGGGATGAGCCGCAGCAGGAGCCCCTGATCGAGTCTCCAATGCTTGAGTCTCCAGGGGGAACGTACCCGATGCGCAACATGTCACTGTCAACATCGCCAGCTCGACGATCGATCGACAACGACAGCAGAGAGCACATCATCCCGCTGGATGACGATCCTCAGGATTCCCTTGCAGGCTTTCAAATTCCAGCAGAGTTTGGCGAGCATGTTTTCGACGCAGCATTCAAGTCGATCAAGTACATGGTGTGGTCTGAGACATGGCAGCGCTACATGAACTGGAAGCGCTCGAGTGTGACGGTCGTTTGATACCACATCTCCACGGCGTCAATGGGTGACCTTCGGTTTCAATCTTCTTCAGTGCCTACATATTGTAACGGTGTTCGGTGAGAAAAGCACTCTTTACCCTTTTTTAGCGGCGCATCTTTGGGAAAGATATACCACCTGTAATAGGGAGATAGCATGTGATACACAGCAAGTCCTTAGCTTTCTCCGCTTTCATGGAGCTATTGAGAAGCTTCTTTTATTCTTTTACGGGATGAATGGACGAAAAGGAGGTGGTAAGGGGGCATAGTATCGCAGTATGGTGGTTGGACATGCGACCTGTGGTAACGCTCAGGATAGGAATAGTTGTACATCGGCTTGCGAGAGTCAAGAGGAAGACTCAGCTTGACCATCTCTCGGCATCGCCCGTGCAACACTGCTGCCATATTGCCTCTCAATGGGCTCGTAGACCAGATTGCGCCTTGGCGTCCCCTTCCCATCCCTCCAAACTGTTGCACCAAGAAGCTCCATCTCCCCACACGATGGGCTCATCTTTGAGCATCCGAAAAGGCAAGTCGTCAAGATTGAATTAGTGCGGTCCTTCCGCGGCTCTTTTGCGAGCCTTTTGCGGTCCCTCGGATCCTTTCAACAGCGGGATGAGGCGTAGGCGGCAAGGGTGCGTTGCGCTCCTACTTGAACGACGTTCTTGACATCCGTCCATTGAATCCATCTACCCTACTATTCTATTTACAGCTTACGTCCCTCGCGGGTTTCCCTTCCCCCGTTCCTCGAGCCTTTCCGGGCTTTACCGATCCGTGCCTTATGTTTTTATGCCTACAACCGTGGCAGTGGCAGAATCCTGCCTGCTGAGCACCCACATGAAGACAAATTGCACCACGTAGCTGTATAGGAAGAGGAATTGTGTTCGCCGGTTTCGCTGCGCGCGGTCGACCGTTTGCATGCCGCCTGCTGGGGTGGAAGAAGAGTCCGGGAGGAGGACGTATTTGAGCGAACGGAGCTGGCAGGAGTCAGTGCGTCACTTTCGAACAGAATCGAATAGGCAGGAAAAAGGGGAGAACAGGGCCGGGGAACTCACAAGAAAGAAAGCGTTAGCCAGAAATGTATATGTGAAAACAGTCCAGCCTACCCATCCTCCTGTCCCCTTCCCGCGGTTCAGTATCTCAGCTACGACCAGTGTGACAATAACGCCAACGAATTTGTATCCAGAATATGCGACGAGGTCGAGTAATTGGCTGTCATTGCTTATGCTCAGTATGTATGTCCCGAATTTGAGTCCCAGTATTTCCACCGCTACAACCGCGAAGGCAGCTGTGGCTGTGAGGCCCATAACCTCTGGATGGAAGGCTCCTCGGAGACCTGCTAATAGCGTGGAGAGAAGAATGTATGTCACGAATGCCATGACAGGGATGTACATGTCCGGGGAGTTCAGATCGTCCCGAGGCGGAAGGAAGTAGTATGAGTAGGCTGTGTTGGGCGTGCTGGGGTCTTGAGCTGTAGAGGAAGGTCTTTGTTCTCGAGACCATGGTTTATGCCGCCAAGGGAAGAGGACAAGAAGAATCTTGCGCAGGACGTAGGGGGTAGAGACGTTGAAGTAGTGTTTCAGAGCTGGGATGGAGACGTAGCGGTTTATCTACGGTCACGCATCAGCAAAAGTTCATGCTTCGGTAGACGCAAACAATATACGCTTTGTTCCATATACTCCTGACCGGCCATCACGGCTTTCTGCCCAACTTGGAAGCCCATTTGGGCAGTCTGATCGTTCACGAAGCCGCCGAACGCAGGTGCGAATGGACCTCCTCCGCCAGATTGTTGGGCAGGGCCCCCCATTTGGCCGTAAGGACTCCCATAATTCGAACCTCCCTGAGATTGGGGAGGGGGCGGAGAGCGCATCATTGGGACAGTGGATACATGTTGTGGTACGGGGTGGTGAAGCGGTGGAGAGTGCGCTGGGGGTGGAGCGTAGGAACCTCGTTGCATTTCTGGTGGGATATCAACGTGTCACAGGCTAGAGATGTGGCTCCAAGTCGTCGAGCTGAAGTATTGGGAATGTTTTCTAACTGGAACATTTTTCGAGCACACCGTATCTTTTGCGGCCTAGACGACCCGAGGTTCTACCGCAACGCGCACCTATGAGTCTCTGCAATGGTAAGCATGTCTCTAACATACCTGTGTTCATTATGCTGGACGGCTTTGAGATACTGACGACTTCAGGAGTGGTCCTGTGGTCAAAGTCTTATGTCCCGGTGAGCAGCAGCATTATTAATGGCTTCATCAAGGATGTCTTCATCGAGGAGAAAGTCCTGCCAGGCGCAAGTGTTGCAGACGATACCTCGGCAACACAGAACCCTTCATATAAGAGAGACCAGTATACACTAAAATGGGCGAGCGTCAAGGATCTAGGGCTCATCTTTGTGGTTTGTATTGCGCAGGGAGGGTTGCGGTGTGAGATATATGGGACTAATCTGCTCTCAGGCTGTTTACCAATCCTTGTTACACCTCTCGTGGATAGACAAGCTCTTGGACAACATACGCATCATCTTCATCGATCTGTACAAGGATCAGTTGAAGAAGCCCCATACGAGCGTTGTGGAATGTGACTTCGACGGCTACTTTGACCAGCAAGTCACCGAGCTGGAAAGTGCAGCAGAAAAGAACCCTCAACGAGTAGCGCAAGGCGCATTGGAGGAGCTCACTCCAGCTTCAAGCTCTGAGAATGGGCACGACAGGCCTCCGCCACCGTTACCGGGATTAGCACCAGGTAAGCTTGTGTCAAAGTCTAAGGACTAGGATGAAAGGCTGATCGCATGTTCTTGAGTAGGATATTTGAAAAAGCAACAAAACAACGGCGACTCGACAGATGTATCACCAATAGGTACACCGGATACGTCCAGGCCTTCTACGCCTGCAGTTCATTTATTAGCAGGAAAGTCTGGACCTAAAGGGGGTTCCCGGAGGGCAAGAAAAGCTGTGACAACTCCTGCAAACGTATCTTCGGGGGATGAAAGGAAAGCGAAGCCAAAGAAAGATAGCGGGAAAAAGATGCGGAAGTGGGATGCCGACGGCCTGGTAGACGAAGAAGATGGAGCGGCTTTAGATTATTCCGCCCAGTCGCCCCAGGAGAACGGCGCAGCGAAGAGCGAATACTTCGCTGGGGTAGACTCGATTGACTCGCAGTCGTTCGGCACAAGGACCGGAAAAGGACAATTCGTTCTCAAGGACCTGGACAGTGAGGTGCACTCAATATTAGAAGGAGCGAGTGAGAAGAGAGCACAACCCTCCCAATCGAAGAGCGGAGTTGTAAGCTCGAGTCTCGGTGCAATAAGTGGACTCTTCCGAAACGTTATTGGAGGCAAGGTCTTGACCAAAGAGGATTTGGCCAAGCCGATGAGAGGGATGGAGGAGCATCTTTTGAACAAGAACGTTGCAAGAGAAGCAGCAGTACGGTTGTGCGAAGGCGTTGAGAGAGAACTCATCGGTGTGAAGACTGGGAGCTTCGAAAGTACCTCAAGTCTGCACAGCTCTTCGGCTCGCAGAACGCTAATAAGAGCTGGCAGGCGTCGAAACAACAATTCGTTCCGCAATGGAATCCTCTCTCCGCAAAATTCTTACCCCCACAACGTCCCTCGACATTTTACGCTCCATATCATCCGTTACCAGTCCTTCACAGTTGAACCCCCTATCACCTAAACCACGTCCTTATGTTATCTCTATCGTCGGTGTCAACGGCGTCGGCAAATCCACTAACCTCTCCAAGTTAGCCTTCTTTCTCCTTCAGAACAAATTCAAACTCCTCATTGCCGCTTGCGATACTTTCCGATCCGGCGCTGTTGAACAGCTTCGTGTTCATGCGAGGAATCTCAAAGAACTGGCCGAGCGGGAGAACCTCGGGAAAGTAGAGCTCTATGAAAAGGGTTATGGTAAAGACGCAGCGAACATCGCCAAAGACGCGGTAGCCTACGGTGCACAGGAGCACTTCGATGTCGTACTTATCGACACTGCTGGACGACGGCATAACGACACCCGCCTAATGTCGAATCTGGAGAAATTTGGCAATTTCGCGAATCCAGATAAGATCCTCATGGTAGGTGAAGCCCTGGTTGGCAGCGATTCTGTTGGCCAAGCGCGAAGTTTCAATGCTGCGTTTGGGAGCAAAAGAAAGCTGGATGGCTTCATCATCTCGAAGTGTGATACGGTGGGTGATATGGTGGGGACTTTGGTCAGCATGGTGCATGCGACCGGCATTCCGGTTGTATTCTTAGGCGTGGGTCAGCATTATGGGGACCTCCGCACTTTGTCCGTCACATGGGCCGTAGGGTTGTTGATGAGTTGATGGCGAAACGGTGTTATGATAACGGCAGGCTCTTCGGAGCAACTCCCTAACAATGGAGGGATGCCTCAGCAAGTGGCTGCAAAGTCAGTTTGCGGTTTACGCGCCATTTCATTCATCGAGGACACAGGGTCCGTGTGCTTTGTTAATTGATGGTCGTCGGAGCTCTCTAATCTCGCTATAGCAGCTTGATCATCTTCCCTAGAGGCTCAGACTGCTTCACAGTCTTTCGCAATTGTGCGACTCGCCACCCAAGCCAACTCGCTTTGTTTGCTGCACTCCATGTGGTATTTTCGATGATAACTAAGCTGTGTTAGCTGCGGTCATAGTATTTTCTGATTCGCTGCCTTCTCATATATCGATCAATGTGGCTTCTTACCTCGAAATCTCCTTGATTTTGCTGGTGTTTTCCTATCTCTGAATAATCACTTCTGGCCGTTGACCTTTCACCACTGTGGAAGCACTTACATTTGCAGCCACAGGGCGGCCAAGCAGCACGGGACGGAGCAGACAGATATGCATGTCAGCTTGGGCACGGATTCCATTTTTCTGCAATGTACCAAGACGCTGGGCCTCTTCACCCTCATCGCATATGACTTCCAGGGTCAAGTCCCGGACTCCTACTCCAGACCTAAAAATAGCATTGTCTAGTGCATAGGAATGGACGAGACAGGTGAAGAAGGATCCGGAAGTGCTCAATCTATGGACGAATACATACCGCCTGCGTCTAGTAGGCAGTGCTTTCGGGAATGTCTAAGAAGTTAATTTCCTGATCATCGAACTCCGCGCCTCACATATGTCTTTGCGGATCGCCACGATCAGACGCCGCTTGCACGTTTCAGTCACTAGATGGCAGTGATGTTGATTGAGGATTTTTGGCTTGGCAGCCCTGGCAGAGGTACCATACATGGAGACTTGGTAAGCGCCCCCATAAGCTTAATCAGCATGTTTCAAGCAGTTGAAACGCCGTTGATGCCCATGGAGCGCTTCCTTGATGCCACTGTCAGACGCTTTGCCATCGTTCTTCCCAGATTGGGGGTGTCGAGGTTCCGAATCGGATATGTCAGGAAAGAGAAAGGACCCCTCTGGTAGGAGAGCTGTGGGAGACACGGGGCGCGAGCACAAGCAGCACAAGGATGAAAAGGATTTGATCTGGATAATTTTGGCATTGTGGCTATGAAAATTGTCTGCCACGAGAACAAGGACAGAGAGACGATTGTTCGTCGACAAAGGCATGGGTCAGGTTGGTGGAGACGTGCATTTTACCTTGGCAGAAGAGTGCGTTGCTATTCTTGAATTTGAATTTTCTCAGAGCGCGGTACTAATACAAGAAGATTATTGCATGTGAATAACCTCGTTGCAATGCATCTGTTTGCACTCGGCAGCCAATGAGCGCCTGGATAAGATCATTGAAAGGCAGGGCTGACGACGGTTCTAGCTCGGCAAGTGGCATGACATTGGCATTGGCAGGCCAAATACTTGTTGGGGCAATGTGATGATGCATGTAAACTTTGTAAAGTAGTGTACATGTATGTTTGTACTTTATGCATGAATGTTGTAGTTGGGAATGGAATTTGGGAATTTGGGGGATTTTGGGCGCAGTATGTCGGGCAGTCGGGGAGGATGCCTGAAATCTGAAATCTGAAATCTGAAATGGCAACGTCTCTTGAAGATTGATCCCGCCTGATCGTACCTGCAGTAGCTCAGGAACTAGGCCAGAACCGCGGTTCCGTCTTCATAACATTTACCATAACATTTATAACATTCATGACTGCAGGCAAGGAAAGCCACACGATTCTATCCTGTAGACTAAATCCTGCTGCCCGCTTTCACCTGGTTTCTCATACCACCATACCTCTAAATACCTTTAACAACCTCTATTGATAGATGTCATATGGTTGATGAGTGAGTGAAATCATGAAACTCCGTCTCCATCGATGGGAGCCTATGATCAAAGGATTTCACGACTCCTTTTTCGTCATGCTGTCCGCCTCGACCATTCTGATTTAGGTTGTCACTTGCGGTTCTCCAACGGCTCCTCGCCATAGGTTGGAGATCCAACAGAGGCTGAATGGTTCTTCACCTTGTCTATGTTCTTAAGCTCCTTTTTCTTTCCCTTTTCTCATGAATTAGGGCATTTAGGGGACATTCGATGTCCAGATATAGCTATTTAGGTCTTTGAAAAAGTCAGCGCTAATCATGTTAGCCCCAACCCTAAATCTCATAATAGACCATCATCTTTTGAGGCAAAAATTTCCAACGTTATGATCGTATCTGACCTCTGACTACAAACTCTGGTCTTATTCACTGCTTGTATTTCAACTCCACTGAGGCGGTGGAGTATGACCTCGGTCCACAGACTCTCATTCGAGAATAGTCCGGATTACTTTGACATCATATCTGTCTTCTGGCAATGCCTGCTAGTCATTAGCCCTGCAACATTCATCTCACACAATGAATGTCTGTAGCTCTGCCCTGTCTACAGTCTCTGGGCCATCGACGGACGTGTCCGATACGCGAGATCCAAATTTGGGTAGGCACGGTCAGCGTAATGCGACGGTCACAACGAAAAACGTGTATTGTCTCGTGGCATGGCATGCTCTCTCTCTCTCTCTCCAATCAGATGTTCAGGCTTAACATGCAGGACATGTCGAGCATAATGAGCCTCCCCGCTGCTGACGAGATCAGACTATGATTGCATGCTGCCGTCACCTCATTCGACGACTTTTCCGTGGCAGTCAATTGGGCAAGCCTTTAATGGCTTGCCCGTTGTATTACTCCACATGGCTTTACGATCCACCATGATCATAAAGACTCCAAAACGCCCATATAATAACGTCCATCTTGCCTCTCAGTAATCTCATGCACTGTGCTCACCAACTCCCTTACACATCCTTCATACCCACAACACTGTCGTTGTTTCTCCGGTTTCAATTCCGCCTCTCTGTCTAGTCATCGTTTGTTCTTTCCGCCCACTCCTACCTGTTATTTCCTACAGACGCTAGTGTTTGTGAGTCAACCAGGCCACCTCGTGCATTAGTCAGTCTAGCATATTCCGGCGAGGTCTAGCTCCACCACTCCGGGTCTATATATTCCAAGATCTCGCACTCTTTACCATGGATTATCAATCGTCTTCCCGGTCCCAGAAAAAGCCATCCTCAACAGGCTCAGATAGAGCATCATCGTCGAGACAAGCAGTACCAACAACAACAGTTCCCCCAAGTCTACGATACTTCACAGCAGCAGCTAGCTCGTCAAGACCCTACGAATCGCCCTACGCTCAAGATCAGGACAGACGATCTCAACCACCGCCAGACTCGTCAGTCCGCTCTACATCAAGATCGACAGGCGTGTACCCAACCTTGACCGGCCCTTCTCCTACGCGAGTACCTCACTCCACCCAGAGCTCTTCCTCCTCAGGCCGTTCTCTCTACGACTCCCCAGGTCCCCGAGGCAGCCGTAACACTACTCCGGGAGGCACGATGAGTACCCAAAGGACTATGAGCTCGGTGAGTATATTGCTCAATCTTTCGTTGCAGTTCGGTCGCTTTTACATTTCACATCTTCCTGCGGTCATTTCCAAATATGCAACTTTGCTTTGTCAGTGAGCGTTGTGACGTATCTTGTTGTTGCTTTCTGCGCGCCAAGCTGCAATACCCCTGTCTAGCGTCCGGCCTTAGCCAAGCGCCGCACCCACCAAGCACATGCACCGTCTCAGGTACTTTGGTATACGAAACAATTACTAATTCCAATGTTACTCCAGAATGATCGAGAACAGTTGATCCGATCTTTACGCACTCACCGCGTCAATACTCTTACAGAGCTACGCCGAATTGAGAAGCTCTTTGCGTCCAACGACTCAGCAGACGTCACCGAGGCCATGACCACTGCCTGGGCTCACTATGTCAACTCCAACAACCTTCTTAGCGAACTTCGAGGCATGACCAAGAATTATCCATTTAGCTCAGAATGTCTGGACGAGGCCAAGTGGCAAGTCATTGGAGACCCTACTAGTACCCGGAGTTGGAACTACTGCTGGTTGATACTGACCAAAATCAAGAACGAGTAAGTTGCTTTTGCCTATCATCTTCCCCGTAGTATGTACCGGCCTCTGTACCGGTGTGACATTTCTGTTCTGCGAGCTAGAACGCTGACCACCGCCCTCCACAGAAATCTCATCAGGAAGCACGCACGACTTCTTGCGGTGAAGCCTACCATGTGGGGAGGGCGCAATCCCTCTCCGTCGGGTGTAGACAAACTTTCCACTGCGTGTGAGCAGGAATGGACCCGGGCACTTCATCAGATGCTTCGCCAGTGGAGCACCCCTCCGAGTAAGTCGGGCAGATAGGTGCCTGATTTCGTTATTGATCTTTTTCGCGGTGGGAACATGAGGGATTGACAGCTTGCGACTTAGGGTGATGTACGATTACGGGGAAAAGTTCTAGGGGATACAAGAGCGGAGCATTGCATTGGGTCCAGGATACTGAGCATTTAGGATGGCGTTCTTGATTGCATTTTCAGGCCGGCTGATTTCACTGTTTCACCCTCGTCCTGCATTTGGGAGCGATGATACACCTTGTCAAACCACTGTCATTACTGCGTTACACTAGAGATTTGCGCCTTGAAGGCCTGACACATTGATTTCAAACCAACACAGCCTGCACTCCTTGGTTCAGCGTGAACGTGGCTATCAGCTAGCTGTGAAATACCACATATGATTGTTTCATGTCCCTCATATCTAATCTCAAGCTACCCTCGTCCATACTACTGCAGGTACAGATCCTTTCTAATCCTTCGTTGGAAAATCTCCAACCTTCTAGCGCCTTGTTGCAACCTTCTAGAAGCATGACCGAAGCTTCTAGCGGTACGGCTCAGGTTCTCTAGTGGCATAGGGCAAGACCGCCCTGTGACTCAATCAGCCTTTGACCGTCGGGGCAGACTCAGCCTCTATGGAATTTGAACTAGTCGAGCAAAGTAGCCACGTGGCAAGGATCCAGATGTCGTTGATTTAAGATGTTTCTTACTCAAAGTGTTGTCAGATTCGCATCAGTCACAGCCCTAAGGTACTTGAAGTACTTTGCTGGGCGCTAGCTTTAAGCGAGGAGGCTGAGGTCGCGTGGTCGCTTACAAAGCTTGGCAGTGGGCAGGACTGACGCGTAATGACGCAAGATGATAAAATGCTCTGGGTTTTGCGCAGACGCCGTAGAGATTGCCGGAGATTAGCAAAAGGCTGTGTCACCGAACATGGACTTTATATCAATCTCCGCGGTATATTATCATGCTCCACGCACGGAGAATGTCAGCACTATCCTCTGGTCAGAGGCACCAGAGGCGAAGGGCAATCCGCATCATCCTGTCCAAAAGATTATGGGAATGGATCTAGGGCAGCGAGCACAGGACAAGGTTCTTGTGCAGCGTCACATTTCAAATGGTCGTATTCGATCATTGACCCAACCAAAGTACAAAGGCCCTAAATAACAACAAATCCGGTGCATATACCGTACCAACTATAGCAAAACCCGTCACTGTAGGCTTTAGTGCTGACTGCCGTTATTATAGCTATCGAAGAAATAAATCCAGACCAACCACTCACCGAAGAATAGTTCTGATTTGAGGAGTGTAGAACGCCAAAGCTCTGGAGAGGATCTAAATTTGATTCGCAAGGAGTTCGATTGCATTTTACCGGTAGCTTCAAGACTGCAGCCTGCCCGTCAAACGGCCCACGCCTCGTTTGAGGATCAGGAGTTGCGTGAGTGTTGCTAATTGAAGGTTTAGGCGAATGAGGTCGGAACTACGTCCCTTGGACATTAGGAACGTGTCGCTCGCCTCGTCGGACGGTGGAGTTGCCCCAACCGTTGAGCAGCTCTCGGTGCCCGAATCATTGCCAGTGAACGAAGTTGTTGAGTGGCGACGAGGTATTGCGCTGGCACGAGGCATAGCCTTGTGCGGCTCCACAAGTCTTGTTCCAAGCGAGGTTGATATGGGTCGAGATCATCCTTTGCCAATACCTCCTCGTACTCAACTAACTTGGCGCTCAATTCAGCAATACTGCGTTCGAGATTGCCAACATTCCAATGCATATACTAGGTCCACTCGTCAAGATTTGGGCATTGGTGCGTCTATACGTCGTGATGCTCTTGCAGGCTAATGTACCCTTTCGGAGCTACCTTCTCGGCCAAATTGTTACTGCCATTAGGGTCCTTGGGTTCTTCCCCACCAACAACACTGAAAGAAATGCTCGCCGTAACGGCCAAGTGCCTAATATTGTGCTCGATTGCCTTTCTAATGTCTGTCGCAAGCTCTGCATTGGCGGGGATCTGCATCCGAACACCACTCAAGCGCTCAACAGAGGTAAGGAGATCGACATCCGATCCATTCAATGCGGTTAGGCAATCGATCCGGCGGACGATTACAGGATCAACGAGCATCGATACAGCGCCAGTTTCGGAGCCATAAGAGACGTGGATCTGGTACGTTATCTTGCTTCTGATAGCAACCACACGTTCGGCACACTCCATGACCATGCTCGCGGGTCTACTGGTGTAGCAAGAAAGTAGGAAAATTGACTCTGCTTTGATGAGTTTGTCAATAAACGTCAAGTTCGTGACCTTTCAATTTCCACCTCAGAGTGAGCAGCTTCTCGATGTCTTCGACATGGCCCTCGGAATGCGCTTGGTATGGAATGTGAGGCATCCCGAGGTCCACGTCCCTCATAATAACGTCAGCAAATTTGTAAAAAGGATTCAAGGGGTTATGTTGCTTTGTAACCTAGGAATATTTCGTGTCGGACTGTTAAGTTCCAGCTTCTCTGACAATGGAGTATATTTTGGCTGGAAGCTAGAGGTTGGCATATGATAAATCGAGAATGGTGTAAAAGAAGAGCGAGGCTGGAACTTTTCAACGACACTTGTATTCATGATCTAAGTATTAGAAGAAGTTCTCTTTGGGAAATTCACTCGCCTTGTGGTTCTTCTCCCCTAAGTGATCTGTTACAGGCATATGCTCTGCTGACGTTGGCCTTCACAGCCTATTCTAGGTCCTCTGATTCACCTGTGTTTGTATCCTGATGCTTCCCCGCTCCGTGCACTCATACGCGACAGGGGCGCTGCCGCGAAAAAGTGGCAGGTTTCACCGTGCTTTTCCTCTGAACCTTGACAACATCCACGAAAGATGAGGCCTTCTGTCATGGAACATTTTTTTTGAATAATTCCTACACATCCATAGCCAGATCTACTTGACATGATACCCATCAATGTAAGAATCCAAAGGAGATCAACGCCCGAGACTGCCACACTCCAATCGATGTCTGAGCGACCCACCGCACCGCACCGAAAGGCTATCAATGACGCTAGGAGGCTGGTGCAGTGGCAGTCTCGATAGCAACTAGGCAGATCGAAGGGCTAGCAAGAGCCTCACGATAATTAGCACAACCGCAGAATAATCATGGGGAGGCCCGGACATCTTACAGCATAGGTAACCAGATGGGCGCTCATCAGAAGGTATGGATTCCTTGAACAACCTTCCTATCTTATGCAAGACTACGTACAATCATCCACTTGATCCTTGCTTTTTGACATCCTTGACGTGACCAACAGCGTTGCGTGAGATGCGGTCCTTGTATGCCGTACGACGCTTTCCTGAGTGGGTCCGCAGACTCGGCACGTGATTCTCCCTCTTACACTCAATGTTCCCTCCTCAGCATTTCAGACAACATCCTCAGTCCAGCCACACATTCTCAGAAAACTTTGTCACGCTGACACCGAATGCATTGGGGGTTTCATTCACGACCCAGGTGGCGTCTTCATAGAGCCTGTTCATGCGGGGTCTAGTATCGGGCAAAGAGTTAGTGTTTGGAACATTCCACAGGAAAGAAACAGTACAACGTACTCAGGTAACAGGATTTCCGAGAAAGAAGTAAGGTTTTTCAGTCTAGCGATCAGTACTCGACAGTCCTGTTTAGTGGCGATCGTGATGTCCAAAAAACTTTCCTCTGCATCGGTGTCGAGCCACATGAAACGCACTCTGAGCTGCTTTGATTGAGTATACAAGGGCCGTGTCACACTAAGCAGAGCCTCTGGAACGATCTCAAGACCCGGGTACAGCGCTGTGAGAGATTGTTGGCCTTTAAAGAAGACGACGCGCTGGGTCACAACATCAAAGGCAATGCTCAGGTCTGCATCGTCGTATCTGGGCTTGAGATGTAGACCCATGATCCCAACGGACTCGATTGGGATTTTCCAGCTCTCTCTCGTCTTGGGATCAGCCCTGGATGCGACATCGTTCGTTGTCCTCTGGCGTTTGGGGGGAGCAGGCGAAGATCCTAAGCAAATGGGATTTTGTGCAGAACCAAGCTCAATCTCAGTGTCCGTGGGAGCGCTCCTCTTCGCAGAAAGTGTCGGGCGGGGAGTAGACGGGCGGTTTAGGCTTGAGGCTGTCTTTGCCGAAGGTGCCGAGCGGACAGTAGAGGGGCTGGTTGAGACTGAAGGTGCTTTTGCCAAGGGGGAGGACGTGGTAGCCGGAGAGGAATCCAGGTCCATTGCCTTGATTGATGTGCCTATAATTGCGATGTGTTCTACATCTGACGACGGATGCTTCATGCTAGTGGGTTGAGAGGGTACCTCGGCGGGCTTGTCGGTTTCTGTGTCTTTCGACACAGGCCTCATCTCAGTGAGCCGAGCTGGACTCTCTACAGGCTTGCCGGCTTCTGTGCTCGATGATGACTGCATGGTAATAGCAGTCTCAGATGCATCTAATTCAGCCGGCTTGCCAATCTCTGCGGTCGATTGGTTGAAGATAGCGATTGGAGAGGCGTCGAGCTCTACGGGCTGGATGATTCCCGCCGTTGGTGAAAATGGCTTGGTGGCAGAAGCCTCGGACACTTCTTCAGACTTGACAGTCTTTGCGGCGGCCGACAGTGGGTCTGTCAGTAATCCCTTCTACCCTACTTCTGACTTGACTTACCTTGAAGACCTCCGAAATGCTGACCTCGACACATCCAGTTGGGAGGCCCATCGCAGCCATCTGCTCTCTCATTTCGATCATTCCCTTCACTCTGAGAAGATCTGAGTCGTATGCGCCATTCATGCCTGGAACAAAAGCCTTCTCCAGAGTCATCTTCACGTTCGACGGATCGATCTGAAGCTCTTCTAGCCGGAGTATCGTGGCCATCAACTTTTGGCCATCCAAAATCATGCTTTCGATGATACGCCCTTTCTTGGGATCAAAGACATTAGAGATGGCAAGCTCAACACCCGCAGGGTCCATCTTATAATCTATCATCGCCTGGCGTAAGTTAATCAATTCAGTCCATCTGTTTTGTTGGAGCTCGAAGCTCTCATCTTCTTCACGCTTCGCCATGTCTAGAGAATCCGGTCCGGGTCAGCGTTTCAGTTTGTACCATCAAGCCTGTAGATTGTGACCTAGATGGGCACATACCTTGCGTGAGTATGTACTGTTGTGATGATCGTTGATGGTGCGGGTGCAAGATTGGTGGTGAGGTGAAGAGGAAATGTGAAAATCAATGCGAAGTGAAGTGGCAAAAGCCGCTAGACATGGAAAACAAGGTTCAAAGAGTGAGGTTACAGTGAGGTATTCAAATAAGATGATCGGCAGCACAAGTCAATGTGACGGCGATCGATTCCAAGGGACTGGCACCTCATCTTCAAAGCCATCTGCCACTATAAGACTGGCCATGTTGAAAGTTGATGGCATGCTAACATCTCTGTCCGCGTAGGTGACGAAAACTCTTCGCAAGGGATTCTTCTCCATCATCCATCTCCGTCATGGGCCCAAGAAGCTTAGGTCCTGCGACGGCAGCAGATCAGGAGTCGCTGCCCAGAGAGATGCTCTGCTTTCCCATCTACGATTTATTGCAGCGAACTCAGCCCTCACGACGTGCAGATGAAATGACGGATAACCTTGGAATATGCCGTCATCTTATTGCTATATTCCTATTCTGTCGTCTCATGCGTGGCCTCTCACAAGCAGAACAGCTGACAGCAAACATGAGTTAAGCTCTACGCGTTGTGTCCCTGGTGTACGCTTCGGTCTCTCATGTAGTAAGCAGATATGATAAGTACAATGAAATTAGAGTAGAGATGACCTATAGCAAAGGGGAACCAACTTGAAGGGCCATCATCTTAACGGGGATGAACCGGAAATCTGTATTGAAAGGAGGATACAGATACTTCCTATATCCGACAACCATGGTGATAAGAGATCACACAGTCCTGTAGTCACCACCAATCTGTATTGACGATCCATATTCACTTCATGTCCGTGGTGGCACTGTGCATAAGAACCTCCTCGCGTTCGACTACGCACCGTTCTTCCTACAACTCCAAGCCTTCTACAGCAAGGTTGACATCACTGCTGTGAATTGCGAGTCACTCTGAGGTAAGCTTCATCTATGGTTCACTGCTAGCCAAGAGATTTTTCATACCTAGCATCATTTTCAACGCTCACTTTGTTCTGAACTAGATTATTTCTACAGTCGGGAGTACACACACACTGATGTTCCAGGAATAGAGGTCGCAACCAAGACCAGTCCTGAGTCAGAGAACAGCTTCAATGAAGTGATTCGTGACTTATAGCGCTTGGTGGCAGTTTGGAAGATCCATGGTCACTCACCTATGAATTTTGAATCCATCACCGACCTCATCACGCAAAAGCTGGTCGGTCTGGACGCACTCGGTGATAATGACATCCACGGTACTTCTTTGAAAGATCTTGGCCGCTTGATAGGCATACGTAACACGATCTTCGAGCTCAACATCTGTACAACGCGAAATTACGGCGAACACCTGGGCATCCTCGATGCGTTTTCAACAAAGATGGTCACCGTTCTCTTCGCTCTGAACCCTGTGGACGCAACGTCAGATCTTCGTTGCCTAAAGACGTTAGAGGAGTGGGCCGCGCTCGGCTTCCAGACGACGAAGTATCCTATAGCGTCTTCAGAATCCGGCAGCTTGCTCGATTATGTCGTCTTCACGGGGCTGAATGCCCTATCGGAGGCGTTCAAGAAGGGACCCGTAGTCGCAGACGATGCCAAGTCAATGAGGTCTTGAAGCTGGCCGCGAAGCTACGAGACACGCTCCCTCCCCATTTCCACATCTGAATCGACAAGATCGTTGCGCAGAAGCTCCGTGTCTTGAGCATACGTCAGGCTGGGAAGTCCGATGTGAGTGGGCATCATATTAGATCGTATTATGTTGCCGCTCACAATGGACGCAGCCTTCGTTGAATGATATCGTACAATCCGTGCAAGAGCCCAGCGCAATGCCCGAGGAGCATGGTAATGTATGTTCAGTCTGACGGTCTTTGAGGCAACAATATTGCTGACAGGACTCTGAAGGTTCACCAAAAGTCCAATAAACAGCACCTTGGTTTGGGCGATGGCGTTTCAGGAGGTGCGGTCGGCGACGTGGAGATGGGCAATCTCGAATTTAATCAAGAGAATCTCAACACAGTAGCATGGGTTCCTGAGCGCGATCAAGGATCTTCTCATCATCCGCCGCCGAGTCTAGACCGGCGTACATTGGACGCCCATATCACGAGCCTGTTGTCTCGGCTGACGGCTGGGGAGCATGAGCTCAAGCAAGCGAAGGAGGACTCAGCTCATGTAAGCCGGGCCCCGAGAACTCGATCCATCTCATATGCTGATAGAAAGGCCCAGTACATTCAAGAGCTCGAAGCGGAGAATCGTGACTAGATTCTGCACATTGAGGGCCTCGAGGAAGGTCCACGCAATCAAGAAGCCATGATCGTGACCTTGAGGACAAGGGAAGCTAGTCCAAGAACAGAAATCAGAGGTTTGAAGGAGGACTATGTCAAGGTAGGCTTAGATTCAATAGTCCTCCAATATTGTAAACTGCTGATGGATGTGTAGGTGAAGGGATAGCTTCGGCAGCTGACTGAAGCATACGGACCGTAAAGCTTACGCCATAGATATGTACAATGAACTGGTCGAAGAACGATCGTCTCAAATCACCAAGGCTGTGAAGATAGATGAGCTCAAGGAGGATAAAGAAGCCCTACCCAAGGAGCTCCGGGATGCGAAGACCGTTATTGACGGGACGAAGCCAAATCCACCATTACCATGGTTCTTTGAGCGCTCAGACGAGGGTGTTGTCAAGGCGAAGGAGCAGAAGAACGACTCATCCGCGTCTTCGACGTATGTGCCTGTGTGTTTGAGGAATACTCCAGGGGCTAGAATGGTGGGTAGTATATGGCCGAAGGATCCGGCGGATGAGAATGATAGGTCTTCATCCTCTGTCGGAGAGGCGACCCCTACCTTCAGCAATGGTTCGGTGCAATTCACCAACAAGTCCTGTGATGTCTACATGGCAGCCGAATCTTACTTCCTTATCTGAAGACGGTAAGGGGAAGGGTCGATGAGGTCTTGCATTGAGACGGACAATGCATGTGACGGCTAAGATAGAGGGTTGCAGTCAGCGATATAGGGTCGAAGGCCTACACATTAGTAGATAGAGTCTTAGGTCTTCTCCTGACGGACAAGGGTTCTATTTGGATGACCTTGCCCCATCAAACTTCAAGAAACTTCAAGATGCACCTCTAGTTGGAAACGGGACCGACTTGCCTGGAGATACTGATGTCGCAGAAAGCCCGTGAGACTTGGTCAGAGTAGAGGCGTATATATTGAACTCGCTCGGTAAAGTAACCCCAACAACGGCAGCATGAGAGACGTAAACAATTTTTTTTTTGCCAATTCTCATCTTCAAACTGGACACTTCAGCATACAGACAAACAGCATCAAGCTTCAGGGCGCCAAGAAAAGCCCTGTGATCCATTGCTGTCATCACGTCATCGTTGAAAACTGTGTCAGACGCGTCATTTCACCTCAATCCTGATACTTTGTCTACGTGCATACTTCAATACACCACCACAATACATGACAATCTAGGAAGAAGAGCTCACTTGCTTTCACAACCAGAGTAACAGCAACCATGTCGGAAGCTCAATCAGACCTTTTCCTCCCTCACGCATTAACCGAGCTGGAGAGGCTGATGGTGGTCTGGAGTGATCCGACTGTAGCGAGAGCGGCAAGCCTATCCATCAACAATTTCATCAATAGCAAGGTACAGGAGATAAAGTCGCGCTGCACAAGTCCCAGCCACGTCCTCTCCTTTGACAACTTTCGAAGTCTCTTAGAGATCTACAAGAGCATCAAGTCTCTCGGAAACGCAGAAGCCGCTGACAGTGTTACCGCTTTCCTCGTGGACAAAATTCAACAAAAGGTTGAGTCCCATCCTTCAAAATCCACGTCTGATGCTGCTCGAATGTCCGCCCTCGAACTGTTCGAGGACTTGGAGTTTTGGGTAGCGCTCAAGTCTTTGCTCGAGGGTTCGTTTTCGCCTGGCACCATCACGGACTCGATCACAAAACTTATTCTACTTGATCTGGCTGCCTGTCCAACCGATGTCATAGCCATCCCAGAGTCGCTGAGAGTCATGGAAATTGGCGCGTACCTCATGGGGGCGCTGCCTTCCATGGAGCTTACGGCGGCGAAGAACACGCACGCAAAAGTACGCTGTGATATTCCCCTTCCCTATTGTCACCATCGTGGCTGACCAAAGTCTACAGATCACCACTGACCTTCAGACTCAAATTCGACGTTTGCAAGAGCAGGCTGTTCAGAATGAAGCGACCATCAGCAGACTGAATCAGGATCAGGAGTTCTGGATCCAGGAAAACATTGGTCTCGAGGCTGATGTACATGGTCTGACTCAGCAGCTATCCAGTATCCAGTCGCCAGATCCCGAATTACAGCAAGAGAATCTTGGGCTGCAGACCGAGATAGCCGACTTAGAGGCCGAGAATGCCGGATTGGAGAAGAAATCTAGGCATTTAAAGAGCAAACTTCGAAATGTAGGCTCTCTGTCTCCGAGTTTCTAATAAATTAGGATTTCTGACACGGTGGCGCAGAGGATCCGCAAGCTCAAAGACGAGGTGAGTATCCTGAGACAAGCGCTGTTAGACCAAAAGTATGCTCATGATACTGTACGTGCAAGGATTGCTTCCTCTATGAACCCCACGTTCTTCTTGGTGCACGACCACTGATAGCTGACACTCTCCAGGATGACAAGATATATGACGCGAGCTTTCAAGGCAGAGCTGAGAAGCTCACGGAGGAGCTAGCTGAAGTGGAAGAAGACAAGGCAGCATTAGCGAGAGATAATGACAGGCTCGCTGTCGAGCAAGCAAGAGTAATGGAGTCGCTGGCAGAGTTGGAGGACAGCAAGATTGCGATGTCTAATGAGATCCACAGACTCGGCACGGAAAATGATCGTCTAGAACAGGAGCTCAAAGACGCGAGTGACAGCCTCGAGGAGGCGGAGGACGACAGAGCGATGTTGTCCAGGAATGCCGAAAAGCTTACTTCAGAGCAAGCTCGTCTGGAGAAAGAGCTCAGCGACGCTCAGGACATCCTTCACCGAATCAGCTTCTTCAGCTCCTCTATCCGGCCAATCGCCAACTACACCACATCACAAGAGGCCAACACTGACGCCAATGCCAATGCTGACACAGATACCGCGACCTCTTCTACGGGGGTGCTGACCCCTCCTTCCAGTACCCCGACGACGCCTTGGTGATCAGGATTTGCACTTGCAAGGGGTGTATCTACAGTATACTGCACAGAGCATGAGACGTCGCCCATCAGAGAGTCGGATCATAGGCTGATGCGTCAGCAAATTCGAACTCATTGCGTCTCTATCAGGCCCATGTAATCGTACCTGGCTGATATTAACAAACCCTTGATCCCAGTTGAACAACAGGACAGTGACTCCTGCCTCGCCTCTTAGCAACGTGCATATGCCCCAAACTGCGACGAATGTATCATCTGGGTACCCACCTTGTGCCGGGCGAGCAGGAAGCCTTCGTCCCATCTACTGAATAAGTCTTCGAAGTAAACTACGTCGTCTTCCAAATTTAACAGACGAATCATTCAAAGTCTCGGCACCTTCTGGAGTCTCTTGCCTGCTGGATGAGGTAATCATAACGGGTGTTCTAGAAGCTCGGTGGTGGATTGGCAGCTTACGTTCTTGCCCATTGCCCTTTTTGCAACGTCCCTTCTCTCTTTACTCATTGTTAGGCAACCCTCCTAGCAGCTAGCGTCTAATGCTTTCCGTTAATCTCATGCCGGTCCGCAGTTTCACAGATACACGAACATTATTGCCCATTCTTGGCTACAAGTACCGTGCCTTTCTGGCCTTACAAAAGGCCAATCTCCGTGCGGGCCAGGGTCACTTTCAATTTGGTTGTGGCTGTGGCAAGTTGGGTTCCTGCTTCCGTCGGTGCGGGTATATTTTCGATATAGTATCTGCTTGTCCAACTTCGGAACTGTGGACCATGGTGCAAGCGCCAGGCTTAGCTCCCATTGCACTGCGTCGAGTCACTTAACAGGCACGGAAAACAGTGAATGGGTAGGCACGGTTAACAGGCATCTAGGGTCTGGCATGTATACAATGTAGTATTTCTAGACCGCAATGCAAGGGATACACGCAAGTGTACACTCTGCTCTATAGCACCGAGAGATCCCCAAATTTCTCCTGGAGTATCCGTTAGCACGATGCTGATATTCCATCGGCAAGGCCAGTCAAGAGCTCCAAGATCACCTACCTTGTAGCCGGGGACGTGCCAACGCCCCTTCGACACAAGCTGTTCTGTTCGAGTGTCGATATCGGGGCGTGCCGCCACAACTTCGTCCTAAAAGCGCACACAAGCATCAGCATCGCCGCAGGGAGTCCGAAGATCGACATCTCGATACTCACAACAGTCAAATCCTCGAACGGTCTCGCGGTTTCGATATTCTTCAACGTCGCCTCCAAGTCCCTCAATTCCCCATCCACCTTCCCCTTCGTCTCCTCCGCGCTCTTCACAGCCTGCACCTCAAACGCCTCGATGGCCTTGATCTGCCGTCCCACATCGTACGTAGCCGGCTTGAACGCCTTGACGTGGCCTTCGATCTCGTCGACCACGGCCGTGTTGTTCAGGGTGTCGCGGTAGTGTTGGAAGTCGACGGACTGGGGCTGCGAGCTCAGCAGGTTGACCTTGCGGCGCGCGTCGTCGTTGCGCTTTTTGAAGGCTTGGAGCGCGGTTGCCGTCTGGCCTTTGAGACCGAGAGAGGTGGAGATTTTGGTCCAGTCGAGTTTCAGGGCGGCGGAGCGCTGGGATGGGTGTCAGTAGGGTCTAACGCAAGCCTGAGCCGGGCGGGCTGATGATTGGAGATGCACGTACTCCTGCTGCCATGTCTGCGGTTCCAATGGCAATGGGATGTTGTTGGCGTGAGATGAATCAATGGAAGATTGAGGTTGAGCTTCTTGTCGAAGTCTTGGCACGCTATTTCACATGAGGACGATCACGTGATGCTCCACCATGAGACTGGCAATCAACTTCATCTATACTTTAAGGCTGCAGCTTCAATACTCATGAGGAGCTCTACAATCTTCAATGGTTGGGAATACCTTGCTACGTTGGCCGTAGCCCCCTGTACAACAGTCACGACAAGCGCAAATACTACAAGTTTGCGGATTATTGCAAACGAACGCTGAGATATGTTCAACTGGGTGCTTTTGATTGGAGATTGAGAACAGAACAGGAGGGTATGCCCAATCTGCTGGATATGGCGAATATCCCACCATTGCCCTAAGGAAGCATCGCTAGTACAGAGATCATCCGTGCTCGCCGTGCTCAACCTTGCTCGTGCCACTTTACAGAGTCTTGTTGCTAACTGGAAAGCGCCATAATAGAGCTGCACCAACGTGTCAGCAAGCGCGGAACGTATTAGACGAAGGGAGTGGTAATACTTGACTATGTCGTTATCATTCTGCAATTGTAGACATAAAAGTTAGTTTATTGCCTAGGTCAAGAATTGGACATACGTACCTCCTTGAGAGCCTTGACCGCCTTCTTCCGCGACACACTCGCTTGGGCCATGACCAGCTCAATATCCTTGGCCTCCAGACCCGAGTCATCAACCTCCTCCCCATCATCTTCCTCTTCCTCTTTCTTGGCCTCTTCGATAGCCTTGCCCTTGCCCTCGGCAGCGTGGTTGTGGCCGGCGTGAGAGTCACCAGCGTTGTCGGAGGGTGTCATGTTCTTGAGAGCGCTGTCGCTTATCTGAGAGCTGAGGTCCTCAATCTTGGCTTCTCCAAAGATACTACATGTAGTGTCAGCCTTAACTCCAAATTTCAGAATTGCAGAGGCCTATACATCCAAGTGTTGCTTGAGGGGGACTTGTAGACGTCGGGCGAATTGATGACGAAGAGGATCTGTCGAGGAAGTATCAGCTAATGCCCTTGCTCTGAGAGCCTCCAAAGCTATGCCCAAGCGAGGGTCCGGTCCATATGCAATCAGAGTCCATCACCCACATTTTTCGGCCTCCTCAACGTGACCCTTGTGATACCCGGAACGTGCTTCAACCCCAGTTTCGCAATTGATTTTCTCGCTTTCTTCTCGTTACGAGAGTGCACGGTCACACTGGAACCAGCTGGGATGCCGGAGTCCCCCTCTCCTCCTGCCGCATCCGCTTCATCTGAGTCGGAGCTGCTCGAGGCATCGTCGACCTCTGCGCCCTTCTTGGCAGGTGGGTCATCGGGAAGCTCTTCGATGCGTGGATTTGACATCTTGGAGCAGGAATGTACTAAAGCACAGCTGTCAGCGCATATTTTGCATCACTTGAAAATCAACGTTCCCAACTTCCCATACGCTGTTGGCAGTGAAGCAGCGTACGTTGTAAGGACAATTGACAGTCGGCAATACTTGTGAAGCTCGGTTTTCCACTTACTTTACTGCAAGAGTGTGTTTGACAGATTTGAAGACTCGAAGTGTGACTGTGTGAAATTAGCGGATTCCGTGAAGCTCTGCCGAATTTCGATTTTGCGCTAGTGAAAGCTAGGGCTCTGCAACGCAAATCCAAGTTCGATCTATCGCAGTTCAGACTGCTACGTAGTGACACTAAGCAGGTGTAATCAGACTATACGCTCTCTACACTCTACGTAAAAAGCTGGTGGAAGCTTCATTTCAGGTCAATCTTGTGACCCTCAAATAATCGATCCTCAGGAAGACGTTGGCAAATTGAACGGAAACAACTGTGAGACACTCGTGTGCTTCAGTGGTTGAGTGCTGCTACTCGACTCTCAGTCCTAGCATAGAGCATCCACCCCTCCGCAATAGTAAAGCTTAGACATTTGCTCCCCGCTTCCCGCACAAAGAACCTCTATTCACGATGACGACTTTGCCGAAGCTCGGACGTTTGCGTGTGCCTTGCGAACTTCGAAACGCGCCTAGAAAGAATGCAATTAGCCAGGTAGTCCTGCCGTCATGTGGAATAGAGCAACCGTCTCAGACACCAAGGGACCATGCGCATGCTCGGGACTCGCGTACCTGTTTCTTCAACCTCAGGACCTTGAATCGATCGAAATCCGAAAGATTACGTCTCTTCTCCCTCTGCTCCCGCCTCTTTGCCCACGCACTCTCATCCCACTTCTTCTCAACCTCTCTCTTCTCCCATGCTCTCGCAACCGCACCTCTCCCAGCTGCTCGTGGTAGCTTTTCAATGACGATAGGAGTGATGATAAGGTTGTTCAGTGCGACGGACTGACGAGGGACAGCTGCATTTTCTTTCTTGGATGGTCCATCGACCAATGCCTGTTCTGAACGTCAGGCCAAGCAAGTGGGAGGAAGGCTCGGGTGCCGAGACGTACACGCTTGTGATCTATGATCTCAACGATGGCTGCTAAGCGTCCAGTGTATTGACCGTGGGTAAAGAGCACGACGCGGCCGACCTCGACCAACCTCCACTGTGAGGCTTTGATCTCGATGTCTGCGTTTTCTGCCATGCCGGCGGCGACTGTAGGGATTTAGAGTCAGTAACAGTGCTCCCGGTGATATAGTGGATCAAGGATAATTCACAGGTAGATCTGATTGTAAAGAGGATGTTGTAAAAATCGATCACCGATGTTGAGTTGCGAGTCAACTTTGGTGGGCAGCTCGGCTAAAATTTGGCGCTAGCTTAGCGCCTAGCGTTGCAGGCTTGCAGATCATTCAATTTCTCGAAGTGCGCTTTCAAATATCTTTAGACCAAGCACATTTTTCGTATCTTCTTGAATGCTTATGCGAGTACGCGCAGATACTAAAACCTTCATTACGACCGGTACACGATGACAAAACCCTCCAAGATGAGGTACGGTACCTGTTGCACTGGGCGCTGCGTCCTCCTCTGCCTCCAACACCATTGAAAAGAACTCGCCTGCGCTCTTTACACGGTTATCAACAGTAAATGCCTGCACCAAATCACTCTGCGAGACGCGAGTGATCCTCCACGACCGCCGACTTAATATGCCGACTAAAGCAAGTCCGGCGTATTCCGAGTCCTCGCTGCAGGCAAGCAGATGCAGTCACAGGCGGAAGATTTGAAGGCGCCGCCAGTGACCGGTCAAGGATGTGAGATCTATATGAGATGTTCCGTGCTTAAGACTACGGGCTCAAGCTCGCCTATCCGACTCGCGATAGCTCGGGCCTACAATTGAAGAGTGTGATGGAGGTATGATACTTGACTACTCTATTCTTTGGCTCTCTGCTCTACATTATGATGTTATAATTTGCGATTGACTCTTTGCCCGTGAACCTCTCGCCAGAGGCTCGATACGGAGAAAGTTGTATGATATTCAATCTTACATATTCTGACCTTCCTCTGCGTGCCCAGCTCGTTTTCTCATCGAGTCTCTTTCTCACCTGCTGACCAGGATCGCATTAGGTACCTGGCCGATCGTTTCAAGATTATCACTGAATGTGCTCGCCATGCACCAAGCATCCATCAACGTGGTTGTCTTTGCATGGATGGAATGCAGAAGGTCCGTCCGCCTAGTCCAGATACCTTTCCTGCCCAATGATTACAAAACACAAGCACTAGATAGTAAATGATTTTCCTCCGGGGAATGATTACACATTGTTACACCAAGATCACTGAGGGCGATTCAAAATTCACGTTAATTACGTCGCAAAGTCGTCATTGCACTTGCTAATCTCTGGATCGTACAGATCATCGAGGCAATGCACGCGCCCCGATATAGAACGGCGTAAAGTTGAAATTGGTCTTATGTGGACGAGACTTTGTTAGCTGGTCGACACTTTCGGTTTCCTTCAACAGAAGAGTGCACCACAGAGTCATGGGCTCAATATTCCCTTACACATTACCACATGCTATATGCACATTGACATACCATTTCTCAAAGCCTAGCTGTCCCTCCCACTAGATTGCGCCAGTCCTTATCTTCGAAGCGGACATACTTATCGCTTTTTGGGGACATCCAATAATTTTCATCTCCTCCACCACCCATTACCTTTGAGCCCTTCTTGCTCGGGTCGATCCCTTCTGCTCGCAAAGCAACCTTGTTTTGCTTGTTGTTATGACTCGCTGCCCCGCCAACTTCTCCACCTAGCACTCTCACAAAGACAGGTACCGCATATCCTGGCAACTGTTTCCTCGCATGTGATGCAAGTCCCCTCCAATCGAAATTCTTCCGATGTTCAGGCGCTATGCTAAGAGCAGCACACCCTGCTCTGCCCTCATGCCTGGGTATCTCAACTCCATATACGTTGGCCTCGAAGACGCCGGGGAATTTGCCAATCACCTCTGCGACCTCGGCAGTGCTGACGTTCTCGCTCTTCCATCGATACGTATCCCCTAAGCGGTCCATGAAGAGCCATCTTCCGTCATCAGTCCTTCTCAGGGCGTCGCCCGATCTGTAATACAGATCTCCCTTTCTGAACACATCCCGATCGAGTTTCTTCTTTGTTGCCTCAGGGTTGTTCCAGTACCCCGGAAAGAGCGATTCATCGGACAATCTGACAAGAATCTCGCCGCCCTCATTGTAGCTATTTCGTGTTGCAAAGCCTGTCTTTGGGTTTCTGATAATTTCGTTCGTCTCATGGTCGATGGCTGCGGGCGCGAATGTATCCCTCGTTACAAGTCTCATCAACGCTCCATGATGACCAACACAATCGACAGAATAATTTCCTCGGTTCCAGACGAACAAAGACAACATACCCTCAGAGCTATTGAAGAACTCGGCCACTTCCGGTACACCAAAGCGCTCACGGAAAGGAAGCCACACGTCGGGTCTCAATCCATTGCCCCACATACACCGGACCTTGTGCTCTTTATCCAATGGCGACGGGGGTGCAGCGAGGAGGTAGCGTGCCGTCTCCCCCACATACGCGAAGAAGGTCGACTCCGAATCTCGGACATCACGCCAAAAGTTACTGACTGAAAAGCCTTTACCAATGGCGAGGGAGACACCGGCCATCATGCACGTCATTGCCGCGATTCCACCTGTCCCATGGTACATCGGCATGCAGACGTACCATCTGTCTCCACCAGGACCGGGGCGCTGGTCACAATAATTTGCACGCCTGGCGCCCGCGAGGTGCATTCGACTGGTAGGAAATGATGCGCCTTTGGGCAGACCGGTCGTCCCACTGATGAACTCCTCGTCAGCGAGTCCTGACGTCAATTTTGTGGCGTGGAATGTCTCGATCTCACCTGGTGTAAAACAGTACACTTGGGAAGCTGGCTTTGAGGCCTTCTCGATAGCTGTCATCAGGTCTTTGTGCAGTCTTTGCAGCTATGGAGCTCTTCAACTCCCTAGACAGCACGATGGTCTGCATGCCAAGCTCCTCTATCCTCTGCTTCTCACCATCAATCCTGGTCCTTACCTTCTCCTCTTCATCAACCACTACTATCTTGGCGCCCGAAAGCTTCAAACAATGTATCAAGGCATCTTCGGATAGATTGAAATTGATCATGGCCGGTGCACATCCCTACCACAGTCAGTCAATCTGGTCTTAAAAGCCCTCAAAAGCGTACAATGGCCCATAATCCCAACCACGCAAAGATGAACTCAGGCGAGTTCTGTAAATAAAAGGCCACCAGCTCGCCAGGTCTGACATCCAGCTCAAGGAAATATGCAGCATATTGGCAAGTCTTGGTATGTGTCTCTTTCCAAGTGAATATTCCCTCACGCGACCAGATAGCCTCAGCGTCGGGGTAGTCGCGGACGGCTTCTTCGAAGAAGTAGAGGCAGGATAGGCGTTTGGTTTTGACTGTGACGAGAGGATTACAGGGTCAGCCAACGAGAGCTGTTGGCAGGGGATGCCAATGAGGGAGGGTTTCTGTACTAGCTCTTGTGGTCTCGCGCTCCGCACTGCTGAGCATCCGCAACTGGCGGATGTCTTTGCTGATATGGAACTTGGCGTCTAAGTAGGCTGCTGCTGCTGTCGTGCCTGCAGCAATGGCGGCTGTGGTAGCTGTGATGGAGTCAACGTGTCAGACGCTGTTGGGGTCCCATCAGGGAAGACATATGTATCTACCTAAGGCCATGATAATATGATTTCTACCGCATCACACGGACGATGTCCTGCTGGCTGATTGCATACGAGCAAGTGTAGACAGACGAAAATAGATTGATAATAGATTTGCGAGGGATATATACGATATGAAAGACCGGATGTTACAATGACACGCACAACATCAGCTCCATCTCCCCCACACCTTTTCCCATGCCGCCGGGCTTAAGCTACGCCGTTTCCTGCCAGACCTCGGCTTCCCCAATTCCTGCATACTTAGTTTCAACCCCGGATGCAATCCCCTGGCAGATGCAATGTCCGATAAGTCCGGTCCCTCAATTGTCTGCATCTCACCAAAATCGTACTACAAGTCGATCGTTATATAACTTTGTCAGTACGACTTCGATTTGAAGAACTCTTGAAGCTTTAGAAATCGTATTCTACGCTTCATAATCTGTTTTTTCAAGGTTTTAATCAGATGGTGTGGAACGAAAAATTGCATTTGCTAGGGAATTGCATCCGGGGGTGAATCTAAGAGCCGCAATAAGCGAGCCAAACGCGCCATTGAAACCATTCGCCTTGGGAGCTTCTTACCTGGAGACTAGACCCAGTGATACCCCAGGCCTCCTGCTTTGCGCTTTCTTTTGAGCAAAGTCTTACTCTCACACATATCTCCGTCGAGATGGTCCCACCTATCATTAACGCGACCCTTCGTACGTACATTTTGGAGATGATCCTTCGTCGCGCAATTTGACCTTCCCTACTCCCCTAAATTTGTCTTGCGACTCTGGACTTTGCCTCAAAGAAGCAATGCTGACTAGAAAATCGACGCAGAATCCACCGTCCTTACTCTCTGCTCACTCCTTATTGCTCAGTATTTCACGTCTTCGCCTCCGCCAAATATCCCAGCTCTTCTCCTCTACACCCTGCTCTCGACGCCTCCCAACTACCTTTGGCAGCAGTATATCGAAAAGAATTTCCCCGGGTACACTGTCAAGAAAATGAATGTGGATGACGGGGGCAAGGGTGTGGAGGTGGAGAAGAGGTTGAATGTGCGGAACACGCTGATCAAGCTTGGGCTCGATCAAACGATTGCGGCGGTGGTCAATGTCGCGGCGTATGTCGGAGGTAGTAGGGCATTGAGGGGCGTGCCATTAAAGGAATGCTGGATGGCGGTGAGGGAGGTATGTGGTGGTGCTCTAAGTGTAGATGCATGCATTTGCTGATAATTGCATGCTAGCAAATGTGGCCCGTCATGAAAGCGGGCTATAAGCTCTGGCCGGCCGTCAATCTAGTGCAGCACTTGTTTATACCCGTGGAGAGGAAGACGGTTGTTGGAAGCTTAGTAGGAATGGGATGGGGAGTGTATCTGGCATTATTCGCTGCCCAATAGTAAAATTGATGATAGTGGTGCTCTTGAAGTCCTCAAGACCGGTGACAGGTAGGCAGGTCGAAGATAGGTAGGTCGAAGTTAGGTATGCGTCATGACCCATTTTGATGGCAACATCAAGGGAGTAATTCTCCTCGTCCAGCTTCTAGACATGCATTGCGTCGCGTGTGATACCCTGAATATATCTTCTTACTAGACGCTCAGAAGATGGTTTTAACTGGCCTTTGAATTGACGGATCGACGATGAGGTTTGAGCGACCGCACCTACTTGCCTAGGTAGTCGCTCATGCCATGCGTGCGGGGTCTCGTCAACACAACCAAACGCAACGACGCTTGGTTCGCATGACACACAAACATCTTAACCTGAAGACGCTCATCTTACAAGAGGCTTTCGATAGGAGGAGAATAAGAATTTCAGGGCCATGTCGCAGCCACCTTTTCGCAGTCGTCCAAATCTCCACCTTACCTTGACAGATCTCACTGGCTCACCGCGCCAATCAGCTCGGAGCACTCCACCGCCTACGAGTCGTTTCATCACTCCATACCCTACTCCTGGAGATACCCCGTTCGCCAGAACAGCATACTCTCCCTACTACTCTGCAGGTCTCAAAGCGCCAACGATTGACGAAACCCCAGAGTCATTCGCCCCTCGCCGCACGATTAGATCGTGTTATCGCAAACACAATGGGTACCGCTTCAAGCGTTTGTTTGCGAGCAAGCCCGTATGGCTTCTACTCATGGTTATTGCGTTGGCTCTATGGTGGTTCAACGGAGGCAGTGAGGAGATGAATGTTGTCAAGCTTGGGGCCAGTGGCTTAGGCAGGGACTTCTTGCACGAGAGGAGAATGCATGACTATCAATTCTACCCGGCCACGAATCCGAAGATCCATGTGAGTCGGCAACAAGACACAAATAGTCTTGTCATTGACGTGTTGCAGTACGTTGGCCGCTGGACGTCTACGCCCAATAGATTACGCAGAGATGGAACATTTCCAGGTAACTACCAAAGATGCTCTGATAGCGACGGAATAGCTTATAGACCTTCTGTAGGAGTCTACTTTGATATTTCCGTCAAGAATACCACTTCTCTGCTCCTGGCCCTTCATAATGCGCCAGAGCAAGAGTCAAGCACACTAAGCAGTATGCCAGAAGCATCAACACTGCTAGTGCATGGTCATCGCAAGCATTACTCATTCCACCCAGTCCCCGGCGACAAAGCTGCACCGCCTGTCTCCTTGCTGGCCGAGGTCGATGACCAAGAATACATTCTTCTGCCAAATTCGTCATCGCTAGTCACTATCAGCTCCAATGGCCTGGACGAGAGAATAGAGCACCATGTCCGCGTTGTCGCCCCAATGACTGATGACCATGGGATGGGCGTCGTGGAATTGGAAGGTCTTTGGCTCAGCAAAGGAGGCAAGCTCGTCAAAGTGGCTGGGTCTTTGCTCAGCGAGGACTACGTGAACGAGGATTTGCTGAACGCGGAGAACGATCAAGTAGGAGAAAGGCATAGGACTGGACTGAATGACATTGAGGAAGATGGTACTACCAAAAGTGGTCGACAGAAGGCCAGCGATATTGCCGAAGACGACAATATTCCATTCGCCAATCAAGATCGGAAAAAGCTACTTGAAGTTATCACGGACTCACCGGGCTCTTTGACCGGAAAGCAACGGGGCAGGCGTACGGGAGGCGCGAACGGCTTGCTATCTGGTGTCATGGGCTGGGAGTACTTGCTGGGGGAGATGTTTGGGGCTGATCATGTTGGAATTGGTGTCGATGGAATGTGCCTAACGCCAGATTGCATTAGCGGCTCTGGCGAATCAGCTGGTATGGGAGATGTGTTTTTTCGCAGGCAAGATCTGCCCAATGTTAATGCACTGACGGAGTACTGATCGAATACGCAGTGGTCCCTATGGCTCAGCATACTTCGAACATCCGTGGATGTTCAGTGCTTACGTACCAGACGTCTTGGTAAAAGACCCTTGTCAAACCACCCCGAAAACCTTGACTAAACTCACGACAGGTGATTAACCTTGGTGATTCAGACGATATTTCTTTCAACGACCATGCATCTGATCACAACAAGACTCTATGGGACCTCTCTGAAAGCTTTGAGACGACATACGTCTCCCTGATCAAAGCGATACGAGGACTGGCCTATCCCAAACACCCATCCATTCTGCAAAGCGAGAGGAGTGGGACTCCTGGAATGGTTTCGAGCATAGCGCCAGCAGCGATCCCCATCTTCGTGATGAGACCGTTGCGGGGTCAGCTTGAACAAGCTACTCAGAACGCAGTCGCCAAGCTTAGAGCTGATGGAGACAAGGCGGTGTTCTGGCTCGACACCTCCGGCTGGCTTGATACGAGCGTTGACGACTCGGAGGGCCTTGACTTCTTCTACGACGACACCGCGGCGCCCCCGAAGTGGAGATTGACAGTGCAAGGGAACCAGCGAGTTGCTATTTTCCTGCACATGCATGTTTGCAGATATCTTGCTGGCGTGGAGGATAGATGCGCTTTCCTGCCGCACGAAGTATATCAAGGCAAGGTCTTTAATCCTGAACAGAAGAACTTTGACAAGTATATAGAAGACGAGAAAGAGAGAAAGCTGAAGAAGATATTTTGGGAGAAGGAGGGGGCAGTGAAGGGAGATCTCCTCGTCTAATTTTAGATGATCGATCGTCTGTCGGACTAGAAGCTTTGTACAATAGAGAATGAAAATGTCATTGCCACTTTATATCTCTCATTGGTTGTTGAGTACAACAAAAGAATTCGCATTCGAAGTCAAGGGAGTCACCAGTCTTCGGTCTGCCAAGTCGGATCTGATAGATTGATCTGAATTGGGACAAGCGTAGATCTTATCGAGCTTGTGTTAGCGTGAAGCTCGGAGTCTGTAGACTTAATTTTCCTCTCGCTTTGCTGTGTGGGGAGAACCTCGCTTTATTTATGATTGTTCCTTACTTGTTGTTCAGATATACTCACTATCGCTTATGACATACACCGTCGTGTTCATTTCCTGCGATGGGACGCCCGAATAACGGCACTACGCGGCGAAAGTCCTCAACCACTCACTACCAGACCTTCCCCACTCCTCCCCCCAAATCCAAAGGTCAGCCGCCATCAGACACTTCCAGGACTTCGTCCCACGACGGGCCTCATCATGCCCGAACGGGGTCTAAGGGTTCCAACCATGAAGGGTCACCTCTCCCCATCAGGCAGCTCTTTGTCTTGGCGGTCATCTCCCTCTCCGAGCAGACCGCCCTGAACTCCATTGGGCCCTACCTACCACAAATGGTAGCCACATTCGGAGACGTCGATCCCGGGCAGGTTGGACTCTACGTTGGGCTCGTAGCCTCCTCCTTCGCCCTGGCACAATTTGCTACAAATTTCTTTTGGGGATGGCTGTCAGATAGAATTGGAAGAAAGCCTGTGGTGCTGACAGGAACACTGCTCAGCGCTGCATGCTTTGTTGCTTTCGGGTTCTGCAAAACACTATGGCAGGCAGTAATTGTACAGGTGTTAATGGGGCTCGTGAATGGGAACCAGGGCGTGGTGTCTACATGCCTGGGGGAGATCACAGACCGAAGCAATCAGTCTCGGGCTTTCATATATTTGCCGGTCATATATGGCTTGGGTGGAATCACGGGACCTGTGGTGGGGGGGCTGCTAGTTTCCAAGAACGCACATTTCTCGAAGGAAGATCCTTATCCATACCTGAAGCCCAACCTGGTTTCAGCGGCCGTCCTTATAGTCGACTTGATAGTGACGATGGTTTTCTTGGAAGAGAGTCTTGACGAAGCTAGGGACCTGCCGCCACTGGGAAAGCGAGTAGGCAACCTCTTCAGTTGGGGCTGGCAGTTCGCAAGCTCGAGCCGACCCAGCTACCTCCGGATACCAAGTATCAACCACAAGCGACCTTTACACATCGATGGCGATGCTACCAATGAGGATGAAGATGAAGAAGACTCTGATTCGGATTCCGGGTCCCAGACCTCGATTCCGGAAATGATACCACACCATACCACAGATCTCACACAATCTCAGATCTTAAATAGAGACACCTTGCTACTCATGTCCACATATCTCATCTTTCAGCTCTCTAACATCTCTTACAACTCGCTCTACCCTATCTTTGGCCAAGCTGCCCCTCCAAGAGGCCGAAACCTTTCCCCTAAAGACATCGGGTTCTCGCTGGCTTTCGCGAGTGCCGCAACCATTGTGTTTCAGCTTGGCTTCTTTGGCAAGCTGCGAGAGAAGTTGGGGAACCGGGTGACTTACAGAAGCTGCATGGCGGCCATGGCTTTGGCATTCATACTGACGCCGTGGGTGGGGTACAAGGACAGCAAGAATGGAGATGGAGGGATCTCTACCGGCAAGGCATGGTTGTGGGTCGAGCTGGGATTCATACTCTTAGTGAAGTCGCTGGCTGCTGTGGGCTGCTTGACGAGCTTTCTTCTGTTGGTATATGTCCCACTGTTGCCTTCATTGACCAAGCTTACCCTTCGTCCAAGATTACCAACTCCGCTCCCAACCATTCCGTCCTCGGCACGCTCAATGGCCTCGCCCAGACTCTATCCGCAGCCGGCCGAGCTGTAGGCCCTTTTTTCGCTGGTGGTCTTTTCTCACTCGGGACTCATGTAGAACCCAAGGGCGAAGCCGTAGCATTCGGCGTCTTTGGCGGTGTAACCTTCGTCGGATTCCTGATGACCTTCGGAATACGTGGGGCAAATCTCGAGTCGGAGGGTTGGGATGAAGAGGAGGGCAGTGAGGAGGACGAGGAGTCGGAGGACGAAGACGATCATGCGAGGTAGTAAAATCCTTGTAGTTTGGGAATATGGCGTTAGACATAGACATGCCGGGACAAAAGGGATGACGATCATAGCGAAGGCGTTGATGGCGTTTTGGTGTAGGATCAATGTACTGCAAGAGAGGGAACAGCCAGTGAGTAAAATGCTTTCATTAGCTGGCCTAAATTTCAATGTATTACGACGTCAAAGGGCTACGATCTATATATATGAAGCATCTTAGGCCCCATACACAGCTGAGCATAGAACATCTAGTGGTCGATGGCCGAACCGACGGTGGGTGTTGTGAATGCCATGAGCTCGAAGACTGTCACTGTTATGGTCTACGATCAAGAAGAATCCCTGCGTCCAGGGGGAAAATGCCCTTGAGAAGGCTCTTTGCAGCAGACATTCTGTTCCATAACACTACGTCCAGAATGACGATCTGTGAGTTGCATCCCAAGGAAGAATCAGCGCACCGTCTTAAAACTGATGTCTTCGTGCTGCCAAGCGCCATAAACACATCCATCTGTGCACTCGGCAACGTTGGAACCTTCCATATCCAGAACACATGCTTTTTCACAAACCAAGATGATCTATTTACCGCCGTTACGACGCTTTCTTTTACCCGCCATTGTCTTCGTGACCCTCATCATCTCCTACCGTGCATTGCCCATTCCAACCTCGTTGCCATCATTCGTCCTCCACCCAGCGCCTGCTCCTCCACAAGGCATTCATGTACCAATCTCAGGCCTGCAGAACCCCCTACCCATCGCCAATACCTCATACAATCATCTTTCGCCACCCAATCAATACTACTACAGCTATCACAGACACGAGAAGGCATTGAACGACGATAAGAGCACCTCGAAATTATGGCGACCAGGGCTCGATCCCAATCTTGAACACCTCTTCAGATGTCCCATTGACGCCAACAAATATACAGGCCATATACGCTTACCTGACATCGTCCAGAACATCTCGCAGATCCCACCAGGTTCGCTGAAGCCGGAATCCAGAGTGTTCTGGAATCCGACCGTCATTGCACTGCCATACTGGTCGAAAAACCAGTATTTGATCGTGAGCAGGATCGTCACAGACGGCAATCACCAAGAGAATGTGCTGTGCGAGGCTAATGTCTGCTACATTGGATCCGGCGAAAATGCAAGGCCAAGGGAGAAGCGGTGTACGGAGGACGACCTTCGACACGTCGGTCCTGGCGGTGGGATGCGCTGTGTTTCATCACCAGTGACCCTTAGTGTGCCACCAACGCCGGCAGAGAGATGTGAAGGGAAATTCATGCCCTATGTTGACATCCCGGGCTTCCACGATCCTCGGATCTTCTGGAGCGGCAAAGGCGAGCCCTTGATGATGGTCAACACCCAGTATGGCCCCCTCCTAGCTTTTCAACACAAAATTGACGTTCTACAGATCCCGCTACGCTTGTTTCGGCCTTTGGATCATAGATCTTCGCACCCTGCACTCGCCCCTCCAAAAGCTTCTCACGTCTTCCCCCAAACGACCTTCCCTTGGTCCTCTGAAGTCCTACCCAACTCTCACAGAGCTGACTCGCAACCCCGCCAACACTCGCTCACAGATCGAAAAGAACTGGTTCCTCTTTTTCCCTTCTAGTGGCGAGTCCTATATCCACTACGATCTCTCCAACCCTCGTGGCGGACCCAGAGGGCGCACCTTTGCCAAGCTCCTTGGAAATGGCTTAACCACAACCAATCTGACTGATCCCTTCGAGCAGCCGTGTCTGCGTGATCTCACCGATGCCGAGGAACCAGATAAGATGAAGAGAGGAGGCACTTGGCATCAAGCAACCAACTCTCTTCGTCTTGTGCTCTGCAATCGTTTCGACTATGACTGCAAAGCCAAACCAGACAACACCGTCTTCTTCGCTATTGTGCACCGCAAATTTCCTAATTGGCTCAAGCTTCCATTACGCTATGAGCGCTACTTTATGGTCTGGTCTGCTACGCCGCCGTTTGAGATGCTAGGCATCAGCCAGCACCCGGTTCTGATGGGTAATGAGACGGCTTCAGGATGGCCCGCGAGCGAGAATTGGGATGATGATCCTGCCAACGCCAAGATCGTCGCCATGACGAAGAAAACAGCTGCCAATGCAACGGAGCCGTACCGCGGCAAGGACTACTGGGCCTACTTCACGTACACGGTCAGTATTTCTTATGCTTGGGGAAGGCAGCCGAGGGCAGCGAAAGACGGAGGAGATGAAGCGCAGGATATGCACGTGGGGTATCTGGACGACGAGGTTCTGCTAGCGATCGGGGTTGATGATAAAGGACAGGCCTTCTCGCGGGCGAAGGCGGGGGAGTTGGTGCAGTGTTTGAGGGCTTGTCCGGGGAGGAGCGAAGACAAGGGCGAGAGAGGTTGAAAAATGTGATGCACAAGGTCGTAAGTGCTCAGCATGACTCTGTAAGAAAACGTAGCAAAAGTCATGCTAGAGAGAATTCCAACTCACAGCAGGAGAAAGCTCGCTTTCTGCTCATTTACGCACACTTTTGTGGATATCGACCAGTATAAGATGGCTCTTCCTATCAGAGGATATTGATTAGAAAGGATTAAACGCATCAAAAGAATTCAATTGCAGATATGAAACGACGGAAAAATTGGTGGAAATTATCACTTTTTCCTGGCACCATGCCTCAAATGTAGGACTATTGCGGTTCCATGGAGGGTGAGAACCCTCTACGAATGTATGATATTCAAAAAAAAGTTGTTGAAATTATCACTTTTTTCTGGCGCCGCGCAGGACTTCTACAGCTTCATCAAGGGTTTTAACCCTGCATGCATGACTTTCGCTACATTCTCTCACATGTTTCCTGTCCCCACGAAGGGTTCTCTCACGCCGGGTAAT